GAAAAACCTGCAGCATCCTTATAGGCTCGGCAGTGCTACGGTGGCTAGCACTACAGAAGAAAGAGACTTGGGGGTCATCACTGACCACAAGATGAACATGAGCCTGCAGTGCGATGCTGTGGCCAGTAAAGCGACCAAAACGCTGGATTGCATCCATAGGTGCTTCTTGGGCAAATCCTGGGACATCGTTCTCGCCTTGTACTCGGCCTTGGTGAGGCCACAGATGGAGTACTGCATCCAGTTTTGGGCTCCACAATTCAAAAAGGATGTGGAGAAGCTTGAGAGAGTCCAGAGAAGAGCCGCACGCATGATCAGTGGTCAGGAAAACAGACCTGACGACGACAGGCTGAGAGCCATGGGGCCCTTTAGCCTGGAAAAGCACAGGCTCAGGAGTGATCTGATGGCCACCTATAAGTTTATCAGGGGTGACCACCAGTTACTGGGGGAACGTTTGTTCACCAGAGCACCCCAGCAGATGACGAGGTCAAACGGTTATAAACTACTGCAAGACCATTTCAGGTTGGACATAAGGAAAAATTTCTTTACTGTCTGAGCCCCCAAGGTCTGGAATAGCCTGCCATTGGAGGTTGTTCAAGCACCTACATTGAACACCTTCAAAAATAAATTGGATGCTTATCTTGCTGGGATCCTATGACCCTAGCTGACTTCCTGCCCTTTGGGTGGGGGGCTGGACTCTGAGCTTCTGAGGTCCCTTCCAGCCCTAATGTCTATGAAATGGTACATGGCATAGAGCAGTGGTTGGCAACCTTTAAGCAGCTGGGGGCCAGAACAGCTTGGCTCTGGTCCTGTGTGGGCCAGCTGGCTTTTGTGGTACATCAGTGCTGGGTAGGCTTTCCATGCACCCATGTCAAGGCCAACAGCTGGAAGAGAGCTGTAAACTGCATCTGCACTGTTTCTGCTTTTCTCTGCTTCCCCCACCCCAGCTGCTTCCCAGCTGCAATGTGGGCACAGCTAGAAGATGCCTAGCCCTGCCATGGGCTGAAACTACATCCAGGCTGCAGCTGGGTTGACAGTGAGGCAGGATAGGGAGAAGGGATAGTGGGATGGGTACAGCTGGAAGCTGCACAGCCCCAAAACAGCTAGTCTGCTTGCATGTTGGGCTGGACAGGTGGAAGCCGTGTTGAGATCAGGGGGAAGTGGAAGCAGAAGTGGGAACAGTGGGGATACAAGTGGAGCTGTTTCAGAGCCATGCAGCTTCCAGCTGCATCTGCAGGATCTCTGCTTCTCCCAGTGGATAGCTTTTGTTTGGCTTGTGGCCCAGATGGGCCTTAATATACTTTAAGCAAGAAATACCTGTGCCGACATGGCTCTCGAGTCCTAAGAAAAGAAAGGCTTGTTAAAACTAATCCTTTCCTGAAAAGTTATTCTTCTTTTTGGGAGGGACTTTATCAGTTTAATACCTATGCTTTCTCAGGTGAAGGGAAAAGTGGTGTGCATGGTGGTTTTTTTAATGATCTTTTTATGGCTATCCCTTTGTGCTGAATTTCTTAAGTTTGTTTGGTTTTTTTTTGTATTTTAACAGTGACTTAAGATTATCTAGAATTCGACTCTTGGAGCTGTTTACTGATTTGAGTTGTAATCCAGAAATGATGAAGAATGCCACTGACCTATACTTCTCACTCTTGCAGGGTAAGACCTTGAAAGGCTACTAATAAATCAGGAGGCCATTGCTTAGTAATCTGTAATTTAATGAACCTCCTACAAATTTGTGTTATCCTAATCTTACGTAGAGGCATTATTTGCTCACCAAAAAATATAGCATCTTTTAGGTTGCTCTATCCCAGCCATCTGTTAAATGATCACCTGGCCTTCTTCAGGTTCTCAGTCAGCATCTTGGCACAGTAAGGGACATGGATAGTCCTTTGTCTCTTTTGAACCACTTTCTGTTGGGGGGAGACGTTAATTTTTCATCACTTTGATACCACAATGTAGTGAATTACTTCTAGAAAGTATTGATTCCCATCAGTTAGAGAATTTACCAGAGCTAAAGTATAAAATGCATCCAGTCTAATGTGAGACCATAGTTTGTTATATTTAGTTGTAGTAATGTGCTTATCTTTACTGAGGTGCTTATATGGTGCTCATCACCAGCATCTGAGCTGTTCAGTGACATGTTATGGCTTATTCATGTTACCTCAAAACTTTTTTTTTTTTTAAATCTCAGTAACTTATTCTGAGTTAGCATTTTCCCTCTGTGTCCCTTTTGTTGAAGAGTCAGTCAAGTACAATCCTTGAGCTGTTTGCAGTAGGTAGATTTTAACTTAAAATAACTGTTAGCTGTGCATTTCTAAGCAGTATCAGTCTGGGGACAACTGTCGTCTTTGCAGTTGGTGTCATGGAATATGCTAATCTGTTACCAAAACCTTTTTATCCAGTATGAGTTTTATCAATATTATGTGAGCCTCTGTTTCCTTGTCTATCTCCATCCCACCCTTTTCTATGCTGGTTTGAAACACTGTTTTGAAATTTTATATATAATTTTAAATATATATAACAGAGGCTCACATAATATTGATAAAACTCATACTGGATAAAAAGGTTTTGGTAACAGATTAGCATATTCCATGACACAGCTGCAAAGAAGACAGCTGTCCCCAGACTGATACTGCTTAGAATCACAGAAGTAAGGTAACTGGCCAAGTTACTGCAGAAAAGGTGGAAGGGAAAGAATGTCTTCAAAGGGTGTCTATACCCAAGCATTAAAGTCTTCTCTTCACAAAGGAAGTTTTTCAAAAATTTGCCATGATTGTGAAAACCACTGTTAGCAACTTTGGGAACCCTTGTTGTAAGTGCCATATTAATCAGAGCTGCTCTGTGTTGCTTTGTATGAAAAAAGTGCTTAAACTGTAAGCATCCCACTTAGAATAGAGCTCCCAAAATTTCTAATATCACCAGATATGAATCGGAGCTAGGCACAGCACAGATCTTCTGCAAAATTCCCCTATGGTGCGCAGGGTTTGCAGGGTCAAGTTGATAATTCAGAACAGGGAGTTTCTGTTGCTAGGATTAGGGTTTTTTTGCTGTAAATCTTGCCTTCTCGTTCATGAATAAAAGGGTTTTTTTTATAGGGCTGTCAATTGCTATTGATATGCAAAATTAATGCAAGAACCAATTAACAGATTCATCTTTTTTTAATGCATTAATTACACTTGTGGTTTTGGACCCCCCATTCTGGCTCCTCTCCACTGCCATTATCACCACCTCTGGGCTGCTCAGTGGAGCAGCCATAGCGGTGCAGAGGGGCTACAAGGCAGCCTTGGTGTAGGCTCTGGGTGGCTGCAGCAGGAAGGTGAAGGGAAGGGGGGCACACTCACCCCGCACAACCCCCATTCAGGGCCCCAAGCAGCCGGGCTGGCCGTGTCGGGGGTTCAGGTAAGGGAACACTCGGCCATGGCAGGGTTGCATGGCACCCTTGGGTCATGCGGTTTGGGCTAGGGGCAGGTCAGGACTGCCTGGGAGCTCTTGCACAAGCCACCTCCAGGCCTGCAGGTCCCTGCACATCCCCAGTCCTGTCCCTTAGGGAGCAGTGGCAATGGTGATCCTGTGCCTCTGTGGAGGCAGCCACAGACAGCTCTGGGAATCCTGCATGCCCGGCCCCAGCCCAGTGCTGACAAAACCTGAGCTGAACTGACTCTCCTCCCTGCACCACCAGGGCTCGTGCCAGGATACACACGGAGCTGCAGGACCCACCAGGTCCCAGTAAGCCCAGGATATGTGAGGAGGAGAGTGCTGGCTCCACCTGGCTCGGCAGCAGCAGCTCAGGCTCCGTTGATGCTGGGCTGGGGCTACGGGAGATGGCTCTGTGATTAATCCTGCCCCCACCCACTGGCAGCAGCTGCCTCCGCAAGGCCGCAGGTCTGCTGTTGCCACCGCTTCCGCAGGGGCCCAGACTGGGGATGCGTGGGGAACTGCGGGCCCAGAGGCGGCTCATGCCAGAGCTCCTAGTCTGTCCCAACCCTCCCTGAGCCTGAGCCATGGGGCCTGAGTGTGCCAGGCAGCCCCACCGCAACCCAGTGCTGCCTTCCCCAAACCCCAGTGCTGCCAGGTCGGCTGGTTGGGGCCCTGGATCAGTGTTGTGAGGGGGTTTGTGGGTGGGTGTGGGCACCCCTCCCCCCGCCATCTTCCTGCTGCAGCCGCCTGGAGCCCATGTCCCACCACACCTGCTGAGCAAGTAAGCAAGGAAGTTCAGGCCAGGTTGGAGCAGCTACCTGCAGCCCAGGCTGCCCACGGCCACTGCTCCTGGGACAAAAGCGGGGTGAGCCCACTGCTGCTGGGGCTGTGCTCAAGTGGAGGGCATGCCCAGGGCAGCTTCATGGAGACCCCACTCAAATTGGGCATCCTGCCAGGGCATGCAGGGGTCTCTCCTCCACAAGCTCCAGACCCTACTGTGGGGAACCCCTCTCCCTGGGCTCCAAACGCAACACACACACACATCCACAGCCCCCCACAACTTTACAAATTCACACCCACCCCCCAACCATACAAAGTACCTGCATATATGTGCATAATTTTTAGTTTTTCTGCCCTTAATTTTCAGTCATTAGGTGTGCAATTAAAATCATGATTAATTGCAGCTATCTTTTTAATCACACAATTAATCATTATTACACTTTTTAATAGTTTGACAGGGTTTTTATGAAGAATGCAAATGAGACCATCTTTTTCTATTCCACCTGACTGTATCTCTTCATCATTCCCCAGTCCCTTCATATCCTGTTGCTTCTGTTTTCTCATTTTTAAATTGCCTGTGGCATGTTTTTATTTTAACAGGTTTTATCATTTCGGTGGATAATTCTTCTCAAGAGAGCAAGTTACGATATATTCAGAATTTTAAGTGGACAGACACATTACAAGGGCAAGTCCCAAGGTACATGTGTTTTCACACTTACAATATCTTTAGCCATTGTACAGTATAGATACATCACTTTAAAATACATGGTAGAGTAGACAAATGTAGCACAGCGCTGTGATCACTCAATATTTCCAAGGGATTCATTTGTTTTAAAATGATATAATGAGTTCCAAGTATTTTGACAGTTTTCTTCTATTTAAAGTTGGGGACAGATTTTAAATAGTGCAGAACAGGAAATAACTATGCAGAATACATATGCAATAAGAATTGGCCGTTTCAGATTTTTGAAACGGTTAAACTATTAAATCAGAAACTTAAATATCAAGGTGGTTGCTCTTATACCACCTAGCGCAGTCCCCTTACTTTCTTGTGGCACATTTGTCATCTAAATTAAGGTCTTCTGGTCAAAGTTAATAGTTCTCCCTCTGTTCTGTAGCATACTCTTGGAAACTATAAATAGAAAACCAGACTGTAATAGAAAACTGGAAATACATGGGGGTGGGGGGAAACATGTTGGCAGTCCCTAAAGAAAGCTGAAGAATTTATGATGGCAGGACCATTCCAGGAAAAGGATAAGATTTTATCTTCTTTGAAAACTTTTCTATATACATATGCCCTATTGTCATAATTATGTAACGGGTTGCAGTAGAAAGCATTTTGGTGTGGTGTATCTGCTAAATTAACAAGGGCAAGCCTGTCACTTTTTCTTGGTTTTAACTAGCTATTTCAGACATAGGCTTTCCATGAAATGCCAATTAAAATAGATGGTGAAATATGTCATATCTGTAATTTAATTCCTACTTTTTGTTTTTCTGTTTAAAATAAAAACTTTGCTAAGCTTTCAGAAAGACTTGTGTGAAGGGCGCATCTTTTAATGTGGGATTTGTTCACGTGAGCTTTTGAAGGGAATAAGTAAATGATTAAATCTTCTTGAGACAGTTCAAGGAGCAGAAAAGTTAGAAACTCCAATGATGAATGCAGTGATTGTTACATTACCTAACTACACATGGCCAAACATGTATGAACAGATTTGAAATCATGAAATTGCTTGGGTTTTGTTTTTCCTTTAGTGCCCAGCAGGATGCAGTATTTGAGTTGGCTTCCATGGGATTCAATGTGGCTCTTTGGTACACAAAATACTCATCAAGACTGGCAGGAAAAGAAGAGTAAGTGTTTTCTGGTTTTGTCAGTTGTGATGGCATGCCGACAAAAAATTTCATCGACTTTTGAGTTCTGGTTGCTCTAATTGAGGGTTGTTAGACTGGTATGGCCCCCAGGCCAGATCCAGAGCCGGAGGCTCTTTCTAAACTAGATCCAAACCCACTCTGGTGGTAGGTTGAGCAGTGGCAGCAAGTTGAACAGCATCAGGGAGCAATAGGAGTTAACACAGCTGTTGCTTGTCCCTGTCATGAACCACATTCCCAACAGTGCTGCATACCACAGATTCTGGCAGTGCACCCCACTTCTAAATTTCCAGGTTCTCTTGGGTCACTGGAGGCAGGTCACACGGCTCTGTGGTTTGTATGTTTAACAGCCCTGCTCTACTGCATATCCTGCAACCACAAGTGTTAATTGAGAACATCAATTAAGGCAGCCTTTGTTCACATGCTTAGTATCAAGAGTACACTGTTCTGGCTCTTGGCCTCTATGGTGTGCGCACAAATTCCTCTGTGTTGTACTTGGATAGACAACTTGACCTTCAGCCACAGCAGGATTAATTGGTGAAATCTAAACTATTTTCATGTTGGAAGGCACACATTACTATAGCAGAATAACCTTAGTAGAGGTAAGGCACTAACGCTAAGAATAATGAGCAAATAAAACTACTATAAGAATGGAATCCAAACTTCTTTGGCTTTTACACCTGATCTAACTGAACAATGTAAGGTGGTTGAGAAGTTTTTGTAAGGTTATGAGTTGGTCAGTACAAAACAAATATTAATCAGGTGAATTGTATTTAATTATTTTTTAAACTTTCAGTATAAATGAAGATGAAGCAAAAGATGTTCACAGGAGCCTGAAGATAGCAGCTGGGATTTTTAAACACCTAAAGGTAGAGAACATATCTTTTAATTCTGTTCTGCAAAATGTCTCTGGACAGAGGTGTTTATATCTTGCTGTGTGTAGTGTCACCATGTGACAAGTAATATTTTTTTAAGGCTTTGCTTTTTGTTATGTAGAAGTAGACTGCATGCAGTAAATAATGATATTGGATTCTTTTGAATGCCACAGAGAATAACTCTTACTTGAGCAGTCATTTTTGTGGTTGGATCCTTCTTAATTGTAAGGGTTGGGGGAGAAGCCAATGGCAATAGTCCCTGTGTTTGTAAGTGTCTTTTGTAGTTAGTCCTCATCACCTATGATTCCCTCACTCAGTCATTGTACCCATTTAATACAGTATACCCCATTCAAGCTCATAATCTTAGGACTGAAAGAAGGTTCTACATTTATTCCATCTTAATGTAATGTAAAGTGTAATGCTTACTGAATATAGAATAACCCAATGTCAGGATATAGACGTGCATACTTTGGAGGGGCATGTTCAAAAGGACAGCAGCCCTTAATGTTCTAATTGTGCATGGGCAAGCCAGGAATGATGCAAATGAAGCAAAATCTCTCCATCTTTAATGTGTTAAAAGTTGGAACTTTTAACAGTTGGACCAGTGGAAAAGTTGGAACAGTGTTAAAAGTTGGAACGATTTTGCTATGGTTGTATCGTTCCCAGATTGTCCACACTAACAGCTTCTCTTTTGAAATGGCTCCAAATGTGCATGTGTCCATACCCGCAGTTGCTGTTCATTCCGTGGTTACAGTTATTTGTGCCCCGAGCTCAAGGTGTTTATTGATTTAACCAATATACAGAGAATTGGTGTTTGTTATAATGTGAACAGTAGGCCGAACATTTGCTGTGCTTGATTTTGTGCAATTATGAATTATGCTTTTTTCTGATATGCACATAAGTGGAGCTAACTAATTTACAATCTGAAAAAAACCTCACTTTAAACTTAATACTTTATTTGAACTAAGCCTAAAAATGATTTTCTGCTATGTAGGAAAGTCATATTCCCAAACTGATCACTCCTGTAGAGAAGGGAAGAGATCTAGAAGCTCGACTTATAGACTCCTACATCATTCAGTGCCAAGCTGAAGCCCAGGAAGGTATTGCAAAATGTGCATGTTTGTAAGTGGAATATTTGTGTGTGCAGTTCTGTAGTGCAGTAGTTCTCAACCTTTTTAGATTTGAGGCACCCCTCCATTTCAAAAACTAATTTATTACAGTACATACCTCCTTGCAGAGGGGCCAGGAATTGGAGGTGGGGAAACAGCCAGGCAGCGAGAACCTGACCTTGCCTTTATCTGCTTATCTTGTTGTATCTGGAGCATAAGCTTGCCCTTATTGGCTTATCTCCTTGCACTTCCTGCAGCACCCTTCAAAAGATCTCATGGCAGCCCAAGGTGTCCCAGCATCTTGGTTGAGAATCACTACTCAACCAAGAGGGATGTGGACAGCATGGAGAGGGTCCAGAGGAGGGCCACTCGTATGATCAAGGGACAGCAGGGTAGGTCCTATGAGGAAAGGTTGCGGGACCTGAACCTGTTCAGCCTTCAAAAGAGAAGGCTGAGGGGGGATCTTGTGGCCTGTTATAAACTGGTTAGGGGGGATCAGCAGGCGCTGGGGGAGTCCCTGTTCCCCCGAGCGCCGCAAGGAGTGACCAGGAACAATGGTCACAAGCTGGCAGAGGGAAGGTTTAAGTTGGACATCAGGAGGCGCTACTTCACGGTCAGGGCGGCTAGGGTCTGGAACCAGCTTCCAAGTGAGGTGGTGCAGGCTCCCACCCTGGGGGTTTTTAAGAGGAGGTTGATTGACCACCTTATTGGGGTCATTTGACCCCAGTGCTCTTCCTGCCATGGCAGGGGGTGGGACTAGATGATCTGCTCAGGTCCCTTCCGACCCTAGAAACTATGAAACTACTCCAGGGGTTCCTGATGTCTCCTGGATAGTGACAGCCAACGTTCTTCTGAAGTTCTTTGGGGGCCAAGGTATTTGTAGCCAGAACTGAAATCTTCACTATCTTAAGGTGCCAGAAAATCATTCCAAATATTTATCAGTTTTGAAAAAGTTCTTAAGGAAATGTCTCTTCTCCAGTAATTGTTTAACATAGTTTGAAAACAAGAACGTATGCTAGAGATCCAAATACTTTAAAGTAAGTGGAAGAGTATGCCACCAACCTTATTGAGTGCTGATTTACAGCTACTCATTATGTCTTAATTTTATCATATTTTGTCACTTGTTGGAGCCCAGTAGTACTCTTGTTTATAGTATTCAGATTAACTGAATTTGGAAGTTTTAGCTGATAAACCCCTAATTATGCTTGATAAGACTTCCTACAATTACATTTTATTTATTTATTTTTAGTGACAATTGCCCGAGCTATTGAATTGAAACACAATCCTGGTCTAATAGCTGCTCTTGCCTATGAAACATCCAATTTCTACCAAAAAGCTGGTAAGATAATCGTACTTTTTATGTCCTTAGTGACTTAGTAGCTTGTATGCTGTATAGAAAGACAGCATTAGCAATTCAACCTCCAGTTTCTCTATAGACAGTATTAGCAGTGTGTTAAACAGTCAAGTCCTGACTGATGGTTCAGATGTCTAATTCACACTTTAACACTTATAGTGGACAAGTCTAATAATAACAAAGGCCTCCTAGTGATGTGGGAGGGAGGGTGTACTCCCTGGATGTTTAGTGAACAAAATGGGGTGAAAGTCAAGGGAACGTCTCCAATTGTTCAATATTGACAACTTAAAGTCAGTGAAAGGTGACATGAAGACCTCTTCAGCCGTCGTTGGCAAGAGGGGTAATTAGTAGGGCTGTGCAAAATGGCACTGGTCTGTTTCGATGGAACAGTGTTTCATTTCGATTTTTATTTATATTTGAAATTGCTGTTCCGTTTCGCTTAATCAGAACAGTGACACTGTTTTGACATTTTGCCCATTTGCTATAACAGGGAAGCTCAAAATAGTCTTTCTCATCTGGCAGGCAGATTGGGGGCCCGCAACCCTGGGAGGACTGTGGGGGCTGTGCCAGTCCTCTTAGGGCTGTGGCTCCCCAGTCTGCCTGCCAGATGAGGGAGGGAAGCTGGGTGTGGCTGCCTGAGACAGGGGAGCTGGGGAAGGGAACTGAGCCCAATTTTGCTCTGTTCTCCTCCCCAGCGCTACAATCAGGCTGGGGAAAGGAACTCAACCCAGATGGGCTGAGTTCCTTTTCCCCAGCCCAATCATAGCACTGGGGAGGGGAATTGAGCCTGGGCCCAGGCTGTGAATCGGCTTCCTGCAGCCTGGCCGTGGGAGGTGGGGAAAGCCAAGGCTGCACTCCTGGCTGAGCCACGTGGGGCTGCGGAGCCCCTGGGAGCGCAGCCCTGGTTCTCCCATCTCCCATCACCTGGCTGCTTTGAAATGTTTTGAAACTTTCGAAACATTTTGACTAACCTCGTTTTGTTTCAAGGCTGTTTCGAAGCCCTTCATTTCGACATGACTTCACTGCTTTGAACTCGAAATGAGTCGAAACAGTGTCGAATTGAAATAGCCGGTGAAATTTTGCACAGCCCTAGCGATTAGTTGTACTATAAGGTCTAAGGCAGGCTGGGGATTATATATATGTTGCTTAGATTTGGTAAGCTGGTTTGAGGACCTTCTGAGTTAGACAAGAATATTGGTTAACTGTGTGAGTAGTGTTGTAATGTAAGTAGAGCTTATAAAATGTTTCTTGAAATTAAGACTCAAAACAAAATGTAAAATAATCATTTACAGGCAAGATTCTTTGGGTATGCCAACAACCAAATGCACCTTTAGACTGTTGAGCAAAATTATTCCTTTGTTTCATAGACATCAGTGTGTATAGAAAAGGTGTGTCAAACTTACCTAGGGCCCTGTAATAGTTCTGGACTGAGGGATTCCTCATTGGCCAGATCCAGCCTTGGGTATCGGGGGGAGGCACTGTGGCTACTGCAGCAGGTCTGAAGGTGGCAAGAAATCTGAAGGGATTTGGGAGCTGTAGTGGTGAGCCAGGTTTGCCACCGACAGCAGTGGGCAGCAGGGTCAAAGGGCCTCTAACTTCCATGGCAGGCCAAGCACCCACATCTTCCATGTAGTGAGGCTCTACAGTCTGGATTCAGTCCATGGCCTGTATATTTGACACCTCCAGTGGAGAGGGAAGAGGTGCACAGCTGTGTTAATGAATCAGAAATATAGGTGTTCAAGACAGTGTTATGTCTGTTAATGTGGTTTCCTGTAGGAACTACAGGAATAATTGCTGCAACTTAACTATGTTTTGCATACTGTTGATTGCTCAAAGATCAGCACTGTGTTTAAAGGTTTTTTTATGATTTGGAGATTTCTGTAATTCTAGATCAGACATTATCTAGCTTGGATGCAACATACACGGGTAAATGGAGGAAGTACTTACAGTTGAAGACCTGTTTCTATCTGGCCTATGTGAGTACTTTGTTTGTGTCCAATCTATGAATGTTTCAGTATTTAAAAGTTAGACAGGAAAAGGGATTCAAGTATTGCTTTTTCCTTGTCACCTCAATGTGAGAGGATAATGGGAATTCCTATAGCCTATCTAAAATGTTTATTGTTTTAGAGCAAGATGAGATCCCTACTCTCTAGAATTTGGGAAGATTCCTTGCTCCTATAAATGAGCCAAGGCAGTCTGAGCATAACATTAGTCTTTCATTCTGTGTGCTGAATCTTGGTCTGCTTTTAGATGCAATTAAGAATTGAAGTCCTGATGAGACAGCCGCTAATGATATTGGGTCCGACACACAACCCGTGTGTCTTTTAGCAACAGGTGCATTTAAAAAAGTTTAGAACCTTTTTTCATTTCCTAACTGATGGCAGCTCACTTTAAGGATGGAAGGGCCTATAGCTCTGTAACTAAACTGCTGCTTCTGGTTTTGTCAAAGCTTATATTCTAGCTTTTCTAAAAAATGGTACAAAACTAACTTGATCCTAACTTTCTTCTTGTTGAGCCTATAGCTAGATGTTTCTTGTCTTATTAGCCACCAGGTGAGATTAGTACTCTTTGTTTTTATTGCATGAACTAAACGAATGATGGAATAAAGTATCGTGCTGTCATGTGTAATTTCTCAGACCAACAAGAAATGTACGTTAACTCATGAAAACATTTCTGTTCACATTGGGTTTAGGATATAATTTAAATATTATATTTCTTTACAAACATTATGCCCCAAAAGGAACTCTATTCAGACATGAGGGTAAGGGAGATTAATGGGAATATGCTGAAAAGTTGCTTAAACTTTGCCATAACTATTCAGAGAAACCATTTTAATTGAAGGTTGAGCATAGATTTAAAATCTCAGCATTTTTCATACGTGACTTTAATCACAAAAACTGAGCTGAGTTTATTCCCACCTTCCCTGCTGAAGAGACGTGCTCTTTTTCTTCAGTACAAGTGCTGCTGTGTATATTAATTCCTTGCACCACATCCTGCTGGCTGACTCATGCAAGTGATGACAACCCAAAAAGTGGATGCAATGACCCACATCTAAAAAGGAAAAAAAAAAAACAGAAAAAATAGTTGGACGACAGGAAGATGCCTACTGATGCCAATACAAATGTTCTTTCCCATCAGGCATATTGCTATCATGGTCAAACGCTGCTGGCCAGTGATAAATGTGGAGAAGCCATCAGAGCTCTGCAGGAATCAGAAAAATGTAAGTATGATTCTTAAAACCCTACTGGAACATCTCTCATCCTACCTGAAGGCTCTATGGTTTTTGTAATTCAGAGCAGTTTACAAGGCTATCCATTTATTTAAATGTTAGAGCCAAATAAAGACACACTGATTACATCAGAATAGACATGGTTTGTATAAGAGCTTTCAAAAATCCTTAGTCCTCAATGTTTATGGTCTATAAACTTCTATAATATAAAAAAGTGCTTACCGAAATAGGTATTTTTCTCTTGTTATCAACTTAATATCTCCCTAGGAGAGGGCTATAGCTTGTCCCTACAAAGAAGAAGGATGGATACATTTATTGCAGGGTCACAGCAGACAGAGAAGTTAAAAAATGAAAAACAAATTGGCTCGATCTGTAACAGAGCCAGACATGTTGGCACTGGATTTATGACCCAGATACCTTGTTCTGGGCAGACCTAAACCCTCAGACTTGCCCTGACCTCTCCTTTCAATAATAGGCCATTTTTATTGATGCACAGTGATAGCAGATAAGAATAATCCAAACAATTCTATATATTTTTCCAATCTTAGAGCTGCACAGAGTTAAGGTACATCTAGCCAGTACACAAGCTTCAATCTGAGGTTCTGTCTTGAATGTCAAATGCCAGCATGATCCTGGAGGTCGGAGGCCAAGGTCCCACCCCTCCCCCCACAGTTTGGGTGGGTGAGACAGGCTGGTGGTATACACTGTATCCATGGTGGCCTTGGGTTTCTCTCTCAGGGACCCTTTGCTGCTCTGAAATCCCTCTCTGTATCTTTTTCCCTCCATGATAATGCCTCATCTTTTGGGCCTTGCTGATTGGTCTCTCTGTGGTCATCATACTGTCCACATTCTGTGCTGTCAACTTATTTCTTTGTTTCACAGACTCATCACATGAGCACATTCTAATTTGGGCTGTACCAGTCTTCTCCTAATTTGGTCTGTTCCCCAAACCAGGAAACTCAAAGGTGCTGCAGTTGGGCACTGTAACTTGGTGCCACGTTGTCTCATGTTATGGAACAGTGCGATATATGCCTTTAATTTCTCAGCCTGTGTGACTGTTTGCTGCTTGTCTGCATCAAACACTGCCGGCCTTGAAGAAACTTTTGTCATAGACAGGCTTTTTAGAAACCAGTTAACCCTTGCTGTTGCCCTGGACCATTATTCTAATGCATATCTATTTTACCTATAAGCCAGTTCCCAAAAGCAAACCATTATCATTTTCTAGCCAGCAAGACCCATAGGCTGCAAGTGCCTATTGTGTGGCTAGCTGCCTACTAATAGGACAATAGGGTAAAGCCCCGGGTAAGCAGCAAGGGAACTACTGCATCTTAGCCAGAGAAGCAGCAGTAGGCTGCTTTGGAGGCTGAGGAGATGCACCTGTGGCTGGTCAAGAGAACACCTGATCAGAAGGGGAGGAGCCCAATAAGCCTGGGTTTCTGAGGCAGATGGACAAGTACAGCCCTGAATTCGTTGGGGAGAAGAGCTCCTGCTAGTTCAGGTATTCAGGGAATGGAAGCTGTAAGCCAGATCAGGTACTCCTAGGGGCTATGAGAGCCAGTGAGTGGGGAGCACATATCAGTGCACACTCATATCCACACGCCATATGCAGAGTGGTAGTTGTAATCTGACTCTGAACTTCTTTTAATTCTGTGGTTCCTTATTGCATACTACTGTTCTCTTTGTATTCGTCTTTGTGGTTGTATAATATACTTCTCTGTCTGCCCAGGTCTTGTATCTACCTTTTTTTGCTGCCTGTAACCAGATTTTGTCCATGCTAACTTTCTAGGTTGGAGTAGTCACCCTGGAACCAGTTTAACTTACTTCTACAAATGCTTATTTTAATATGTTGGGATAGAATCTTAGCTAGGATACTCCCTCTCTCATATTTCAGCAGGCCAGAATAGTAGTGGCCAGCTTTAATTGATAACTTTCATTGCTTTCTTGTGCAGTCTTTACCAAGGCTGAAGCATTATGCAAAGAGTATGGGGAAACCAAAGGGCCTGGAACTACTGCCAAACCTTCTGGACATCTCTTCTTTAGGAAACTAGGAACTTTAGTTAAGAACACCCTAGAAAAATGTCAGCGAGAGAATGGATTCATGTAAGTATATACTCTTTTTGGCACGTTGCTTTTCATGATCTTTAGACCCCTCCTTTGTTGTTGTTTTAGGACTAGATCATAAATTTTTCTAATGCAACTCCTCAATCCAGTGAGGAGTGGCACGTGGCTCAGAGTGTCACAGTTCCTTCCCTAGAACCAAATGAGTCTCTGCTATAGCAAATTACTCCTCCCTCCTTGTTCTGTACCAGCTAAACCACATTAACTGATATGCTGGAAAGGATGAAGTCCAAATTCCACTTTCTTCCCCTGACGACCCTCTTCCTGCCCTGCTGCACTGAAGCAGTGGTCCTGCGGAGGATGTGGTCTACCCCACTTACCCATCCCCTGTTAACTTCTGCTGTAAGCAGCAGTTGTATGTCTCTCTGCTCTCCATCTAGTGTCCAGTACACTAGTGTAAATGTGTGTCATTACGCAGCTAAATTCCCAGGGGATGCTGGGTAACCGAGCTTTTGCTGTATTTTTGAGTAAAGAATTGCTATTTCCCCCCCTTATTGTATAAAAGGCACATGCAACAGGGACATTGACTAAACATCAAATGCTGTCTGATGCACATGAAAATAATTTTTCTTACTCTCCTTCTGTTATAGTAATTGTAATCATTGTTTTTAACAATAGCGCATACAGAAATTAACACTAGTTCATGTCCCTTTAAAAAAAGTAATTTGTCACATGGCCAGCTTCTGTTCATGAATGTTCATGCCTTGATGACAGTATAGTGGTTTGCTAAGCATTGGGTAAGGAACCAGTCCTTTGATCTATCTGGGCTTTTGCTACTGTAGTATGTACTGACATCACCTTTCTTTAGAGGCATTAGTAGCTCTGATTTTCATTTTTATTTTAATTGACTTTAAACAGAAGGAGCATTTTTATCTCTTCCCACTAAAACAAAAAGGGGAAAACCCTTTTAAAGTGATAGGGGCCACAGTAGCAAATGGGTGAGAGTACAAATGGGAATTTGCCTGTGGTCTTGTGACTCCTCTGAGAAACTGGCTAAACTGAATATTGTTCGGTGTTCAGTTCTTTAAATCACATGGGTCTAGTACAGTGATAATAGTAGGATGCTTTTGTAAGTGGGGAAGTGTTCTCCTTTACTTCAGGGGGTAAACTGATAATCTGAAATAATCTCTCCAAAGCTTTATTCACTGTGTTTATAAAACACTAAATTCTGTCTTAGTTACTTCCAAAAAGTGCCACCAGAAGCTCCCCAACTCGAGCTGAAAGCAAACTACGGCCTGGTAGAACCTGTTCCTTTTGAATTTCCTGCTTTGGATGCACACTGGACCCCAGAGTCACTTGCTGCATTTGATCTGACTAAGAGGCCAAAGGATGAGAGTGTAAGAACATTTTACCTTTCTTCTCTCCTTCCTCTCCACTACATCCCATGTGTGGTGCATATTTGGCACTAGGTCCTTAGGTCTTCCCTGCTTAGTAGTAAGACCACCAGCCTTCTGGTTGCAGGTTACCAGTTCAACTGTTTAAGATTAGGCAAGTTGAATCCTGTTTTCAGCCTTCCTAGGATGTTAAGCTGTAGCCAGTGACATTTTAGCAGGCACTGAAATACTTGGGGTTAATGCTATAGAAAAGTCTATTAAAAAGAAGCGGGTGAGACTGTTAATCCACATGTGTTTTAGTAGTTTGACAGTACTGAAGAGCATCCTAGAACAGGAGTATACCATGTATACAATATGTGCCACTTGTCTTTTGGCCAGTCCTCCTTATTTTGTCCTTTGAGAGTTCTCTTTATTTGAGGCCTCATTTAAGCTTTGTCACACCTGTGTGCAGGTTGGTACCAAGTACTGCCAGTTCACGATGGGCACTCAGTTATTTGGTCCTCGAGCAGTGGCGTTGGATCCTTGTCACTCTTTCTTAGCTGGACAACTCTGGTTGGTCCACAGCTGAAAAATGACATTGTTTCCTTGTTTTCTTTTAGCTGTATAATCTTCCTGTTTGATATTTCCTCAGATAGAATTTAAGGATTAATTAGCTTGAATGCCACTGGTGCTTTAATACAGTGTAATTTCAGTTCTTGAGTAGGTGCAATAAGCTAGTTGGATTTAAACACTGTACATTTCAAGCTGCTGTGACAAGAAAACTTGGCAATTTTCTTTCTCTCTCCTTCCTTTTTTTTTAAAAACAGCCCTGAGGGTGCAGAAAAGAATAGCTTATAGTCTGCACAGCTTCAACATATGTTGTGTGGAACTTAGGAGTTTGCATTCACTACTTACATATATTTTTTCCAAACTCTCTCCTTTTCTACAGGCTAAGCCAAAACCAGAGGAAGAAGTAAAACCTCTGAAAGAACCAGATATAAAGCCTCAAAAAGACAGTGGATGTCAGATCTCTTAAATGCCATAAGTACTTGGAATTCCTGCCACAAGCTGTATTTGGTGACTTCAGGGGCTTTTGTTTAAGATCCCATATTCTGTGTTGTCTTTTTTTTTAAATCCTAAAGACAAATTCAGTAAATTAATATTTAATAGCCATCTGTCTTGATTGACAATGTGACTGGATTGGTAGAAGAAAATTATTTATATCTGCTTTATTTTTGTTTTAGTTGGTACCTCATAAAATGGACTCAATTGTCGTCTTTGCCTTTATAGAGATTTTCATCTATAACCAGTAGTACTAGAGTTTGGCTTCTATACATAGAATAGCACAGAAGGAAAGAATTGTGGGGGGTTAAAGTCAGGATGTGGTTCCTCTCCACAATGATAATCCATATAGCATAAACTTTGATTCATATCTTTTGTTTGACAGGAAATAGTATTGATTTAGTCATGTTTACCACAAAGGCTTAACATTCTGTGGTGTTGCTATTCTATTGTTACCAATGAATGAGAAAAATAATTTCTCTTTTTTTTTTTTGCTTTTATAAACATGGAAACTTCTATAGTGAAATCACTGTCTCAGAACTTCTTTAGAAGTTTTCCATAACCAGAACAGTTTATACTGCATTTGATGCAACTAGACAGTAGTATTTTTTCCAACCTAAATTGGGTTTCCATATGCCTGAATTCTTAAAAAGGTACTTCTTCAATGGTATGTTTTTTCTATCCTGTTCCTTCATTTTATGTGGTTTAGTGTCAGGTTGCTAGTCTGCTTATAGTATGTGAAAGCAAAGCAGCAAGCAAGTAGAAAAGCTCTTTAAAATGTATTATGGTATCATGTTTGTAGAATTTTTAGAGGTTAAAATATTTTGTAAAGTTCTGGCCTCTTAGAACCTCAGATGAATACATTTAGTTCATAAGCATAATTAAATAGACTGTAATTGCTCCATTTCTGTATGGGACATATTGGTATGATGCAGTAGGGAGAGTAAGTAAGACAGCATAGACATTTTAGTAGTATGCAGAAGGCATTCTCTTTTGAGATCTCACCAACATCAGATGTAAACTGGAGCATCTCCCGCCCAGCTTTCTCAAGGCCTACCTGTAATCAGCCGCTGGATGAAGAGCAGTTGTTGAAATCCTAGCCCTCAGTAAGAATGAAGTGCTGCTGTCTGAAAGAGGTAAATGATTTGAAGAACTTGTCACCTTCTATAATTTTGCCACTGTTCAAGGCATGTGCTCTTGGAGAAATCAGTGTGTGTGTAGCTTTGGTCTTGTGGGCATTTGATAGTACTCGGGAGACCAGAATAACTACAGCAACAAAAACATTACTTCCATCTGCGAGTGATCAGATTATCTGGCACACAGTGTCAGCCCTGGTGAGCCAGGTGCTTGTGTCCTTCAGGCTTTGATCATTGTAAGTCGTCACACCTAGGATTGAAAGTTTTGTGCTTTGAGAGCTCCAGATTACATAAAACACAGCAACTTACATCCTCAGCATTACAGGTTACTGTAAAAGCATGTCCCCATGCTCTGCTGTCTGCACTAGCTTTCCTTTCAAAGGAGTCCTGTTGAATGGCTCTTTATTCATAATCCTCAGTGGGACTGGATCTAGCTACCTGAGAAGTCAGGACCTCCCATAATGGCTACATTCCCATGGAACAAAGAAAAGGTTATCCAGTAAGAGGATGATTGTGAAATGGAAAGTGGAGTCTTCACAGGAGCTGGACCAAACTAGGCAACTGATTTCTGTGAAGGAAAAGAATGATCCTGGTAGTAGTAAGCATTATGTTGAAAGCAAACACAAAATCCAATACTCGGTTTACCCTTCTCCTATCTGTTCTGTATACATTGATCTGTTTCTCCCTCAGAGACTATAAAGTAAGAACAAAAGAGTTTCTGTTTTTACATCTTACGAGATGCTTAGCTGTGACATTGCAGAGAATCTGGAGAAAGGTTTGTTTCCCAAAATGTGGACACCCCCTGCCAGCCCCCACAAAGTATTGAAGAAGGGGAGTCAAGATGTATTCAACCCATAGTCAAGGGTTGTTTTGCTGACAATACAATTTCAGTCCTGTGTGTAATTACAGGAGCCAATTTAGCTGGAAGCAGGGAGGGAATATCAGAAGCAGGACAAAAATGGATCACTGCCATAAATCTTAATATTTCTATAGTTGCCTTACTTTCTTTTTTAATGGATGAGTTGTAATTAGCTCCATGCTTGATCTTAAACTTTCAGTATGTACTCAGTGATTCTTTTCTATTGTCAGTTGACCTGTATTTGGTGTTTTTCTACAGGCAGAAATCTTTAAATTAAACAGATTTTCACCCCTTGTATATCTGCTGTAGAATATAGCACAGAGTTGCCTAAATGTATTTTGTGCGTGCACACATTAATGTGTATTGCATTGGTATTTTTGACCATGAGTATACTGAAATGTATGTTTCTTCATTTATGTTTCATCAGCTACCCAAATATGTAGAGAGGGTCTTTGGTGCAAACTTCGATTTCCCAAACATTTTCATACAAAAGCTTATTCTGTAAACTTGCAGTTTACACTATGCTGGCACTGTTATCTCTGACTTCCTGAAATCAAGAGTCTTGATTGAGATTTATATGCAATCTGAACATTAGGTGACAGTATTTTATGAGGTTAGTTGTAATATTGTGCTGCTCTCAATCAGTACTTGTTTTAGTAACCATGACAAGTTAAACATTGATAAAGGGAATAAACAAGTTCATCTGAACTTTTGCTTTTCAAGACGCCATTGATTTATTTGCATTTTAAAGCTTTGTGGTAGATTTTTTTCGTAGGATAAAGAATTAAAACGTTTTAACCTGCAAAGTGTAAGAATAAGATGCTGTTGGACATTGGATGCACAACTGCTGATTTCTCACAGAGCAAGATTTTTATTAAGGTATTTAAATACAGACACTCCTTTTTTTAGTTTTTAGTTTTATTTTATTTTTTTGCATTAACTGTTCTCTGTATTCAAGCATTTAGAAAACCTGGTTGAGGGCTTCATATATCTTGCAAATATATATAAAATAGCAAAGGTTTCCTTTAGCACTTTTTTAAAAGTCAGGTTCATAAGATGACTTTTTAATAATAAAATCAACATTAGTAAGTATCTACTGTCTTACAATTAGGGCCTTTTTTATGACATCTGTTCTGTGGCTGTTAATTTTGCACTCAAACAGTGCCCTCAAAAAATGATGGAAATATTAGCTGTCTAACTCCTACTTGTGCTCATACTTTATAATGGGGGCAAAATTATGTCACAGAGCAGACAGCTAGGTAGAGTACTTAGCTGAACATTGAGTCCTTTGTGTGTTTGTCCTTTTTTTAAAAAGAAATGTATACACTGGAAATCTTTAATGGCTTATTAAAAGCAAAACAATACAACGCTCCTTATAGGAAAACTATTTTAAAGGCATTTAATACACTTATGAGGAGTGTCTCATTCATATTCTTTGTTGCTGGGTTTACATGAAATAGTTAACTTGCTGTTATTTAACATGTAACTCTAGACCTAAAGGACTAAATCTGGCCCTTGGATGCAGATGCCTGGCTTCAGTACGAGCTTTGTCAGTGCCTCTGAAGGCAGGATTTAGTAACTGATGTATCTGTATAAATACTTGGCTTGTCTGCTGTGACACTACTACCTGGTTGTAGTCTAAGCAAGAAAGTAGATACCCATATCTGTATATTACTGTATAGCCAACTTTGCACTTTAGAAACTAATCTTGCATTTTCAGTACTATACAACATGCTTGTAAATAATCCTTTGCTTCTAGTTTTATTGTGCTAATGGCAGTAGTGTGATACCAATAAGATTTGATGGGAACACTGTTAAAATTAAAAAGTATTTTTCAGTTTGTATGTATAAAATAAACTGTTTGAAGTGCATCAAGAGTGGCATTGTTTCTTTACAGGCAGGTGTCATTGTTATCCTTTTGTGTATGTTTTCCAAATACCAAGCTGAGTGGAATTTTAAATTCCCACCCCCCAAACCGCACTTCGCAGAGCCAGCAGTGGAAAAAAGTAGAGAGAGAAAAGAGCTTAACTCTATGTTAGAACTAAGGTGTTGGTTAACTTGCAGTGTAAACCTAGGTGACACAGAAGAAGACATGGTTCCAGGCTTCCTTTTATTAATGGTTATATATTGCAAGTATGTGATTTTTTTTTTTTTTTTTTTTTTTTTTTTTTTTTTTTTTTTCCAGGTTGTGGGCGTAGGGTCCCATTCTAAGTGTTGTGGAGAATTCTTGCCCAGGTCTTGATTAGGGCGGGGGGGGGGAGCACCATTTCTGTCCCTTCGAAACAGAAGTCGGAACATGTTTTGTTTCAAAGCACTGTTCCGTTTAGTTTCCCATAGGCTATAATGGGTAATCATGAAAATACTTATAACTTTGTCATTTCTTGCTTGATTCAGATAAACAGTGCAGAGATGGTAGCCTTTTCTGAGGACATGAAGCCTGCCAAGTTTCAAGGCGATGGGTGCATGGTTTTCTGTGAAACTGCACCTCAAACTGTTCAAAGCAAAACTAATATCACTTGCTGGCAGTGTCAGCCTGCTGTCATTCCACGCGCAGATCCAGGGGCCTTGCCCCCTGGGAGGAGTCTGGCACAGCTCTGCAGCCCTCCTGGGGGTGGGCCCCCAGATCTGCATGTGGGATGACAGCAGGCTGGCGCTGCCAACAGGTCAGCGCCAGCACTGGGTTCTTGGTGCTCGGCACAGGGTGTGCTGAGCAGACTCAGGTGCTGGTGCTGGCCCTAGCCAGCAGCAGCAGCATGCTGTCATCCACATGCTTCGCAGCTAGTGCACTCACTGGCTCTAGCAGTGGCAAGTTAGGGCCTCTGAGGGCTCATGGCAGAGCCCCCAACACAGCAGGGGGCAGCGGGCATTGCCCGCCCCTCACCTAACACCTGCATGGCAGCTGCACCTGAACATTCCCTCGGCTTCCGGTTCGATTTTCCCCAGCTCTTTCCAGGGTGTGTGGGCCCCTGGATCTGCGTGCTGGGTTTCAACAGGCTGCTACTGCAGACTGCTGGAACCCCATGCGCAGATCAGAGGCCTGTGCCCCTGGGAAGAGCTAGGGAATCGAACCAGGAGCTAGATGTCAATATCAAAGCAGTCCCCCCCTTATTTTCTGTTTAGCTGCAAGGAAGCTGTGTTCGAAACTAGAAACATTTTGAGAGCTTGGAAACAAAACAAGGGCAGTTTCAAAGCCTTTTGTTTCATTTAGATTTTGCTGTTTCGAGCTCAAAACAAGTCGAAACAGCTTCAAAACTAAACAGCCATCAAAACTTCACACAGCCCTAATTTTGATATGTATCAGTTAGGTCTTCTAAAAAAAAAATCATAACAGAAAAAACAGGCTTTTTATCTGTCTTCACTTCTGAATTTCCAAAAGGAGCCAGAGGCAAGCAGTTATTTCTATGATTTCAATATCAGTACACTACTGATCTAGGCAGGAGTCTTAGGTAAGCTGACCATATGGGACGACGTAAAATTCAGGACACTACCCCCTGCCCCCTTCCACTGCTTCAGGCAGAGGTATGGGTGGGGTACTGCTAATATTACTATTCAGGGAGCTAAGAGGTCAGTTACCTGTTAATGACCCAGGTATTAACAGTACCCTTTTTAATAGTTATTCCACTAATCAAGCTAACCTATTAGGGCAATTCTGCTGTCTGCTAGGACTTCCTATTGCACACCTCCTGCCAGTTCACCTTGCCCCATGCCTGGGACACTTGTTTTAATTTTTACTGGCAGTCTGGGACCAACCTCTGAAATCTGGGACTGTCCCAGCCAATCCAAAACGTATGATCACCCTGACCTTAGGGAAGTTCTGAAAGAAGCTTCATTGAAAGCTTGTCCTATACATCTCTGATTTAGTCTATAATGGGTAGGCAAACTTTTTTGGCCACGGTGCTGAAAAAAACCACAATGTCTACCTTGGAAGGTGCCAGAGTGCCAGCTTGCCAGAAAAACAAAATGAGGGCCGGGGGGCGGTACATAACAGGATCCACTGCATATTAGTATATTTAATAATCATAAATGTTACCTTTGTTGTGTATTCCTTTTTTGTTGAGCATGTTGCAATGAGAGAGAGAAAAATGAGACACACAAGAGAAAGAGGAGAGAGAGAGAGGATAGCAGAGACAACCACACACACACCCAGAACAGACACATGCGTGCACACATCCAGAACCACAGGTGTTGCGGTGGATGTAGTATTTCTGGACTTTAGGAAGGCCTTTGATACTATCTCTCACCCCATTCTCATTAAAAAACTAGGCAACTATGACATTGATGCCTACACAGTCAGATGGGTTACAAATTGGCTAGAGGGCCGCAGCCACAGAGTGGTGGTGGATGGGTCATTTTTGACCTAGAGGGATGCGGGCAGTGGGGTCCCTCAGGGCTCAGTCCTTGGGCCTGTACTATTCAATGTCTTTATCAGCAACTTGGACGAGGTGGTGAAAAGCACCTTGTTCAAATTTGCAGATGACACTAAGATGTGGGGAGAGGTGGGTGCGCTAGAAGGGAGGGACAAGCTACAACTAGATCTGGACAGGTTACAGGGGTGAGCGAATGAGAACAGGATGGGATTCAATACTGACAAGTGCAAGGTGATGCACCTGGGGAGGAAGAACCAGCATCATGCCTATAGGCTGGGGAAATCCCTTCTCATCAGTGCAGAGGCAGAAAAGGATCTTCGAGTCATTATTGACTCAAAGATGAACATGGGCTGCCAATGCAAGGACGCGGTCTGTAAGGCTAACTGCACCTTGTCATGCATCCACAGATGCATCACGAGCAGATCCAGGAAAGTGATCCTCCCCCTCTGTGACACTGGTCAGGCCATAGTTGGAGTAGTGTCCAGTTCTAGGCGCCGCACTTCAGGAGGGATGTGGACAACATGGAGAGGGTCCAGAGAAGGGTCACTCGCATGATCAGGGGGCAGCAGGGCAGGCCCTATGAGGAGAGGCTAAAGGACCTGGACCTGTTCAGCCTCCGTGAGAAGGTTAAGGTGGGATCTGGTGGCCATCTATAAGCTTACCGGGGGGACCAGCGGGGAATGGGAAAGACCCTGTTCCCCCGAGCACCTCCTGGTGTAACTAGGAATAATGGCCACAAGTTGACTGAGAGTAGGTTCAGGCTAGATATCCGGGGGCACTACTTCATAGTCAGGGGGGCTAGGATCTGGAACCAACTTCCAAGGGAAGTGGTGCTGGCTCATACCTTGGGGGTCTTCAAAAGGAGGCTAGATAATCACCTAGCTGGGGTTGTTTGACCCCAGCATTCTTTCCTGCCCATGATGATCTGCTCAGGCCCCTTCCAACCCTATCAACTATGAAACTCTGCTCCTGTTGGGCTGGAGGGTATCTGTGGTGAGACCAAATGGTTTTCTCTTGTACCTATGGTATTGGAAGCTTCACAGTTAATATAACTCTTATTAATACTTATTCCTTACATTTAAACTTTCCATTAAAACTTGCAGTGCCAAAGGAAAATACCAATGGGAGGCACTGAGACTTCAACAGAATGGGATGAAAAATTTAAGAAATACAATGTTCAAGATGGTTGTTTGGCATGTAAGAGCTCTGTATGCAAGTCATCATCACTTCCAAAGCAGATTCTGATTTCATCCAGGCTTCTATGCCTGTCATCCTTAAGACTGTCAGCAAACTGTGGCATTTGAAGGACTTTTATCTAGTTTTTCCATGTAGACAAGCTTATTTTGCTATCAAAACCTTCAAGGGCTCTAACTTGACACTTGAAGCAAGAATTTAATATAGTGTCCATCTTTAAGAAAGGGAAGAAGTAGGATCTAGGGCAGTGGTTCTCAAACTTTTTTTTTTGCGGACCACTTGAAAATTCCTAAGGGTCTCAGTGGACCACCTAATAAACTTCTTTTTGTTCTACAAATCAAAGCACACATCTCATTTTAATATCAGTAGTCTTACCTTTCTAATCCAATGGATGTGCCTGTTTTTTTGAGCAAAGGTTTTGGAAGTCAGGTGTAATGTTTATCAGCTTTAGCCTTAGATCACCTTTCTGCGGACCACCTGAATGGACCAGTGGTGCTCCACAGACCACAGTTTGAGAACCTCTGATCTAGGAAATTAAAGACCTATCAGTCTGACCTCAATACCTGGGACAATAAGCAGGTCTTTAAGGAATCTATTGTGAAGCACCTAAAAGAAAACAAGATAACTGGGAACAGCTAGCCTGCATTCACCAAGAGCATATCATGCCTGACCAACCTAATTGCTTTCTATAATAAGGTGAAAGGCTCTATGGATAGGGAGGGGGAGAGTAGTGGATACAATATACCTTTAGTAAGGTTTTTCACACCGTCTCCCCTAACATTTTCACTGACAAGCTAAGGAAATACAGACTAGATAAAAGTACTGTACGGTGGATCTATAATTGTTTGGATCATTGTGTTCAGTGACTAGGCATCAATGGCTCAATGTCTCATTGGGAACAGGTATAAGTGGGGTTCCCTAGGGGTCTCTCCTTATTTAATATCTTCATTAATGATTTGGATGATGGGCCCAGGTGCACACTTAGCAAAATTTTGGATGAAACTACGTTGGGTGGAGTTGATACTCTGGAGGGTAGGGTTAGGATCCAGAATGACCTGGATAGACTGGAAAAATTATCCGCAGTCAAACAGATGAGATTCAACAAGTTGCAAAGTCCTGCACCTGGGACAGAATAACTGCATACACAGATACACACTGGGGAGTGCCTGGCTAGGTTGCAGTACTACAGAGAAGGACCTGGGGGTTATGATGGACCATAAGCTGAATCTGAGCCAACAGTGTGCTCTTATTGCCAAAAAGGCCTTGTGCTGGGTTGTATTAGCAGAAGTGATGCCTATAAATCAAGGGAAGTGATTGCTCTTCTCTCCAGCATTAGTAAGGCCTTATCTGGACTCCTGTGCCTAGTTTTGGGCCCCACACCTCAAGAAGGATGTGGACAGACTGGAACGAGTCCAGCAGAGAACAAAAAAGATTATTAGGGGTCTGGGAGGCAAATTTATGAGGAAAGGGTGAAAGAACTGGGTTTAGACTGGAGAAGAGAGGATTGAGGTGGGATTTGGTAACAATCCTGAAATATCTAAAGAGTGGTTATACAGAGGATGGAGACAGGCTTTTCTTTGTGATGGCAGGGTACAGGACTAGGAGCAATGTCCTCAACTTGCAGTAGAGGAAATTTAGGTTGGATATTGAGAAGAACTTTTGGACTGTGAGGATGGCCAAGCATTGGAACAAGCTACCTAGAAAAGTTATGTAATCTTTATCCCTGGAAGTTTTAAAGGTCAAGTTGGGATAGACACTTAGCTGGGATGGTTTAGTGAAGGATAATCCTGCCTTGAGGAAGGGGCTGGACAAGATGACCTTGTGAGAACCCTTCTAGCCTAACTTCCCTATGATTCTAATATCTGCAGCCTGATATTTTAAACGTTATTCATTAACAAATTGCATTTATCAAATAACAGATTGAACTTTTAAAAGTGCATACAATCCCTTAAACTGTTGCCTGTTCTATTTTTCCAATTAAATTAAATAATTAAACAGTTGGAGCTATCTGTTACAATGTCACCTTTCCTATGGTAATTATTTAGCCATTACTTATGTGCTGTTCTTTCTGTAAATTGCCAGGAGGTGGCAGCATTTGTATTCATTCATGGTGTTTGGCTCCCTCACTTCGCTAGAAAGAGTAAATATTAGCCCTGTAACTTTGCAAAGCCTGAGATGGCTTGATAGCAATAAATAGTAAAGAAAGCAGAGTACTGAAGCATTACTTCAGGAAGTGAAAACTGCTTTAAAAATGGCCAGTTTTACAGGTATATCCCCAAAGAGTATTGCCTAATGTGACCTTGCCCATTCCTTTTGCCACCCCACCTGCTCACTACTTACTTATCTTTTGCCGGATGCACAAATAAAAAGGTCCTGCCTACAATTCAAACACAGCCAGCCCTTTCGGACAAGCACATCCTGCCCTTCCTGCTTTGCTGCAGACTGGGCAATGGTAGGGGACAGTGGTGTAAGGCAGTGGTGATTTTTTTTTAGTACATTGGTTTCTCACAGGATCATTAGTGTCCTGGATCTAGCTTTTGTTTCCTGTCTAGTACAAAAGCTATTTTCAGGACAAGTAATTTCTTTATGTGATGGAAGACACCAAAGAGATTATACAGGTGAGTTTGCTTTTGATTTGTTATTGCCTGACATTTCACTCATTTATGTTCTTTTGTAAACTATTTATTTGAACCTATTAGCTTCTTAAAGTGGTTTAGTGTTAAAACTCAAACTTAGGGACAACCATTTGAACTAATGTACAGTATTATCCATTTGTAAGTTTGGAATAACTATCTCATAGCATTGTTTGCTTATTGTTGATTGGTCTAGATTGATTGAATACAACAGGAAAGAGAACAGTAGCTGGCAGAATATAGCGCTAACTTTTCTTACTTAACATAGGAGATGTGTCTTTTGAAGAATCCCATATACGGATGGAAGAAATAGAAATTAAATAAAAATTAAATATTGTATCTTTGACTAAGAGAATGTGCTTTAGAAGAACTTTTTAAACTAAGAAGAACTTGTCACATATTTGATATTTATCAGTAACCTTGACTTTGACTTGGTATAGACCTGTTTTAGAAATTATGAAATATTAATTTTCTTAAACGCACATGTTAGTTTGCTGGGGTAAGAACTAGTGACTAAATCTGAATGGCCCAGAATTAGAACAATTAAGGATAATAAAAATGGGCAAAATATGCCAGCAGTGGAAAAGCTAATTAGGACCCCTTGTCTGTATCAAGTGTCTGTTTTTGAGGGTGGGGACCTCAGACCCAAATGTGCACAACTGTTGGTGTTCTCTTGGGAGCCATATAAATATTACTATTTGAAAAACAGCATGCTGCAGAGTATTCACTTAGCATCTTGCAAGATCAGAGTCTGAGATCTGTCTGTTGCAGGATTTATTTCTTTTGAATCTTGTTTTTTTGTTCTGAAGTTTTTCAGGTTTCACTGCATACTCTGGCCTAATGCCTGAAAAACTATAGGTGTTCAAAGGTCAATAGAAGACCTCTTGATGACACCAGCAGTCATACTTGTTCAAGAGTTGGAAGTCTGGTAGTGCCCCCAGATAAGTTTTGGTAGCTCCTGTAATGTCCAGACTTGATTTTTGTCTCTTATTTCCCAAAAAAGAAATATTCAGGACTCCTTTTAACTTTTGAGGACAGAAATGAGATTGCCACTCAGGCGCAGTCCTTACATTCCAAAGACTGAGAGCTAGATGGGAAGCTGAAACCACTATTTAAGACACCCTGGGTGCGTCTACAGTAGATGCTAAATACGCAGGAAACTAATTCTACTGTGCATTAGCATATCACAGGAAAAGCCATGCTGTTGTGCTAATGCACAGTAGAAACAGACTGCTGGGCATTAGCATCACTAAAAAGGCATGCGCCGATGCTACTACTTAGTAGAGCCGTGTGAGGCTTTGGACAGAGCTTCGGATCCAGAGAAGCTTTGGGCACTTGGGACCCAAAGCAGCACATCCGGGTCCAAGCACTGCCTCGTTCGGCTTCCCAAAGCACTTCGGAGCCGCCTTGGTGATCCAGCCATAGCGGAAACAATAAAATATCTATAACTTTGTTGTTTTTTGTCTGATTTGGATGAAATTTTCTGGGGTGGTATACTATGCAGAGAGCATAAAACCTGCCAAGTTTCAAGATGATCAGTCTGGGGGCTTGGGAGGAACAGCACCCCAAATTCTTGAAAGCAAAACTCCTGTCAAGTCTATGTGTTACAACGCAGGGGGTCAAAATTGCAGGGCTGGTAGCTCTTGCTGAGGCCACAAAGCCTGCCAAGTTTCAAGAAGATCGGTGCAGGGGTTTGGAGGGAACTGCCCCTCAAGCTGGGGACAAGCAAAACTGGTACCATGGGTGCTTGTGGGACTGTCTTGGGGCGGGGAGGGGAGACACTCCTGCAGGTTTGTCTGCTAAACTGCTGTGTTCCCAGTTACCAATCAATCAATCATGATTTAGTCAGGGACTCAGGGACCAGCTCAATACACAGGCCTTAGCTACTACACAACGACTTAAAGAGCATCAATTAGCACCTACAAAACCAGGCTGAGAGTAAAGAATCAATGCAGACAATCAACTGCCCCGAGACAGAAGCAGTCTTGGCACGGGTTTTGTCTGTCAGCAGCCAGAGGCACAGGGCCCCAGGACCCCCCTGCACCAATCTCCTTGGCCACTGGCAGGCATCACAGCAGGGGCTACCATCCCTGCAGCTGTCACCCTGTTGCACCTTAGCATATGCAGTGTCACCCATGGCACCAGTTTTGCTTCTCAGCAGCTTGAGGGGCAGTTCCCTCCAAACCCCTGCACCGATCTTCTTGAAACTTGGCAGGCTTTGTGGGCTCAGTAAGAGCTACCACCCCTGCAGTTTTGACCCCCACGTAGTGTAGCACACAGCCGTGACAGGAGTTTACCTTTCAAGAATTTGGGGTACAGTTCCTCCCAAACCCCTGCACTGATCCTCTTGAAACTTGGTAGGTTTCATCTTCTCAGCAGAGGCTACCATCCCTGCAAGTTTCATCCAAATTGGACAAAAAACAACAAAGTTATAGATATTTCATTGATTCCCCATTATACTCTATGGCCGGATCTCCAAGGCAGCTCTAAAGCATAGGATTCGCTTCGACCAGATCGAGGCAGAAACCCAGCCTGGAGCTCTGCATCAGATCACTGCCATCCGAAGCAGCCGGATCCAAAGCCAGATTGGATCGCTGCTGACTTGCATGGGCCTACTGCACAGTAGCGCCAGTTACTACATATTGAGTTGGTACCTGTTTTTACAGGTACTAAACATAAACTACAGAGCGTTGATGCACATGTAGACATGCCCCCTGTTGTCCTCTAACTAGGCTAAAATCACCTTTCTGGTGGGGCTCTTCTGATGAGCAGGGGGAAGACAGCATCTCCCAGCACAATGAGAACAATATAGGCGGGGGAGAAAGAAAATCTCCAAGGAGGATCATTTACTTTGCAAATGGTGACACTATGGAAGAGTATAGCACTGAGGAAGAGGAAGAGGAGGAAGAGCATCAGACTCTTGACACAGTGAGTCTGCTTCCTGGCTTGTATTGGAAACTTGGGGTGGAGTCTAGAGAGGAGTACTGCAAGGATGAGCAGTACTTGTAAAGACCTTTGAAGCTATGAAATGCTATATTGTGCTACGTTCTGAGACGTAACAAGTATCTTGCTATGGAAAAACTCAAAAGTTACTATATTTGGTTCTTATCATGCAAGTATTTAAAGTTTTATGAGCAACTTTACTCCCCTAAGTCCCATAAAAGATTATTGCAGGTTTACATATTTGCAAAACTTGATCCTTTACATGTTCTGTTGCACAGCTGTCATCTGTGTTTGCTGTACTAATAACCAGCTTTATAAAGGAGTCTGATGCTTTACAGATTCACAGTTAGGCTACTACTGTAAGTCAATTGAATTTGGTTAGACACAACAGCAGTTTATGTCAAGAGTTTATGTAATAATTAGCTTTCTTCCCTGCATGATGGCAGATCATTTGACACTGCAAGCAGTATCAGCCAAATTAATCTCCAGGGGAATTTCATAGATGAATCTGGCTTTGTAGTTTAATTCAGTCTGTCTAACATTACTAAGCATTTTTTTTATTTGTTTGTTTTGCTCTTTAGTCCAAGTTCTCCTGGGGACTGTATCTGTGGTTCTGGGCAGTTCGAATCGCATCAATGTCATTTTTCAGTAAGTTATAATATTTTTGCGTCAGTGGTTGGACTATTAAACAATAAAAATATCAGGAGATCTTTCCCCCCTTAATTTGATAGTTTCTTGGTAGTATCTCAGGATTATTACCAAACTTTTGGACAATGTGCAATTTAAAAATGGGTATTTTCTTTCAATGGGCTAGTAACCTCTATATGCTATCAAGAATGAAGTACTCTAGGTTGGGTCATTTGCATATCAGATAACCATTTCCAATGAACTATTTCTTATAACAGCCAAAATGCGGCAGAACACTTAGAGGCAGCCTTGCCACACTCGTTGAAGCAAGAGTCTGAATGCTGTCCCAATGGGTGGCAATCTGGTTATGGAGTTTACAGGGGTTGTGTATGTGTGTTGCCAGCACAACTACCAGCAATGTAATGGCATTTATAGTGGCTGAAGAGCCAATTTCCTTGATATCATGGGTAGCCTCAATGACTACTTATGGGTCTAAGGACATAAAGATTTTGTCTTTCGTTCACCTCTTTAATACTTAGTTTCTCTGTCTTCAGGCCTGGACAGACAACACATCTATACCACTGTAAAAAAGATGTGGATGGATGATGTCAATCCTACATAGGGGTAACTTTGCCCAACCCAGTGTAGAATTGCCCCTAACAGAATCAGGATAAACTATACCGGGGTCACTGTCACCTGTCTGCATCTTATCCTGGGACAAGTGCTTTCTCAAGGCAAACAGGCTCTTACGAGTTCCCTGGCCAGCTCTCGGTGAGGAATTATAATAGTGTCTATGCATGCTAATACTCCATGAGTAGGGACTTAACGCAATTCACAATTTCACAGATTTTGCGGAAATTGTGAAATTGGGCTATGTCCATAAAATCTGCAAAGGAAAAAAAACTTATTAAAAATAAAATGCTGGCTCCCCAGTGGAGGGGGTAGGGGCTGTCAGTGCAATGGGGAGCAGCTAAGATGGTGGCCGCCCTTGCCTCTCACTGCTGACTGGCTGAAAGGGCTCCCTGTTGTGTGGCCTTGCCCTATCTGCTAATTAGCAGTGATAAGCAAGGTGCACAATGGACAGCCTCTCAACCAATCAGAGGTGGGGGGCAGGGCTGTATGATGGACATCCTTCTCAACCAATCAGCAGTGAGGGACAGGGCCACCAGGGCCCCTCAGTCAGTCAGAGGTGTGGGGGGCCACCACAATAAGCCCATGAAAATGGTGGCCAGCCCCGCAATCTGCCTTGATTTCAGTAGGTCCCTATCCATGTGGACCTAAAATCATCTTCCTGCCTTGATTTCAGTAGGTCCCTATCCATGTGGACTGTTCGCCTGTCTGCTCTGGATTACAGTGTGATTTATGTTGGTGTATTAAAAACAATGCAAGTTATTTGTTGTCTCTCCAAGCCCACAGCAGTATTTTTAACTAGTTTCCAAAATTATTCCTAGTTCATGCTCTTACAAGTGTGACAGTGTATCAAAAAATGCATCAGAAACTATATTAAAGTTGAGGAGGCAAAGTCAAGAACTCAGAAGTTAGGAAATGCCAGACTTGGGGGTTCTGAAGCAACCTCAGTTCAGTTCTCTTATGTGTATACATTGACAATAGGCTTATAACACGCTATTGCCTCCTCTCCCCCTGCCTTGACCCCTGCCCCATTCAGCATGCAGGATAACTGCTCATTCAGAGACAAGACTCTATTCTTTTTTCTTTTTTGTCATTCCATGTGCAGACCTACATCTTTTTCAGAACAAACTGCAGAGGCATAACTGGGCACTTGAGTGCCCTGGGCAGCAGGCTTACACAGGATAGTGTCAGTGGTATGGCAGCCCAGCCAGCAGTGCAGCTGCTGCTGTTTTTGTGTTCACCCCCCCACCCTCAGACTGGTGGCCCAGTTGCCCCCCCACTTCGTTATGCTACTGCCAAGCTGTGTCCAGTGCAGAATTATTTTCCATGCTGCTTCATTGAATGTCTAAGTAGTCCACAAACAATAATGGATTTATTTTCACTAATCTGTGTTGGGTGTGCTGATCTGAGGTACAGTGATTAAAGCCAAAATTGCTAACAGTATCAAGAAATGTTAGGTGTCTAATTACACATGCCTAGGGGGTTTTAAGAGTATGTAGCATTTTATAACACTTATGCATTCAAAGCACATCTCCTATTGACCCCAGTGGCAGCTGTGAATGCAAGTACTTAAACTTGTGAACAATTTTACTCCCAGATGTCCCATTAAGTGCAAAGTTCCTCACACATTTATGCATTTATAGCATTGAGCATTTGATGTATTCCAGAGTTAACATTTCTCCCAGTCAGGCTCCAGGTATGTCCAACTGGGACTCTGAATTTGAGCAACACTGAGGCCACCTGTCAAAACTATTTACATCATTTGGTACCTGATCACAGGAATTCTGCAGCAGAAGCAGGAATGGAATCCTAGAAAATTAGGTTGGAAGAGACCTCAGGAGGTCATCTAATCCAACCCCCTGCTCAAAGCAGGACCAGCCCCAACTAGATCATTCCCAGCTATTCCCAGTCCTGTTCCCTAGGTTGCGATTCAATTGCCTTTTTTGTGCAATTGTCTCTTGCCTTCCTGCCTTCCTTCCCTCTTTCCTTCCAGAACAAATTAAGCTAGATTCTACAGACAAGAGTCTTATATTGGTTAAACAACTCTAATCCATCAATCCCCCTCTGTCCTATGCACTAGAAAAAGTATGGATCCAATGGAAAAAAAACAGTATGTGATCACATAAGTAAAGAGTGCCTCGTACTGCCTATATACAATGCACTCTTAATTCTGGCATATTTCAGCTTTGAAATGCTTGATTTGCTACTTTAAAATTCTTACAGCTTATGAAAAAAACAGAAACATAATAATCTAAAATCCCACTTGTCCCCAAGTCACAACATCTGGCCCATAGCAGAGGGGATCAGTGGCAAAAAGTGCAGCCTGGCACATCCCCTTTCCTGCACTGCACCATGCTGCTGATCTCTACTGTCTGGAGGTAAGCTCATTTTCTGTTTACCTACCTTCTCTCTGACATTGGCAACCACCTCCCTGTCCCCCAGCCGCCTTCCTGACCAGAGGGGAGTGGTGGCTTGTAGTGTAGCCAGGGTTCAAGCCCCCAACCTGAGGTTCTAAAAGGTTGAGCTCCACTACCCTATAGTGTTGGTCATTTGGATTTGGATATTTAGATGTGCCATGCAGTCCTCTGTCCCTTGAGCTACCAGAATAAGTAGTACCAGCAGAAGACTGTCATCACTTCCTGGTTTGGAGGATGGGATGCACATTTTTGTCTGTGGCTTCTCCAGGAATTTACTAGACTGCAACAGTCTATGGAAGGTCTGTATGAAATGGCTAGTATTCGCTTTGGATTCAGACTCAGCCGATTCAAGGGACAGTGATTTGATTTGGTGATTCAAATCACTGTCCCAGATCAATGCTGCCAAATCATCCAAATCTCCAAATCACACAGGCCCCATCCCCCGCCCACTCTCCCAGTCCCGCCCACCCCAGCTCCCCACTCTTTGAATAAAAAAAGCCCCCACTCACTGGCTGCTACCCAGCAGTGGGTGATCCCCACTGCCCCCTACTGCCCCACACCACATGGGGGGCTCTGCCAC